GCTCAATTATGACAAGGTGAATTTTGTAAAAAAAAAAAAAAAGTGTACAGCTCATAGGCAACGCACTGAGAGTTCCCTGTACAACCACACCCTTACCTTGCTACCTTTCCATCCTTAGCTGTTCTCCATAAGCTTTTCTTCCTCTCACAGGCCTCTCTTCTTTCTGGTTGCCAATTTGTTCTTCTTCCCAGGGTCCCTTTTCATTATGAGTAAGAAACCATTACTCAGCAACCCTCCCTACCTTCCTTATCTCCAGACTTGTCTAGGAGGACATGTCTTCAATGCTGAGGTGTGTGTACATGGGGCTAGGCTTACCTCTTTCACAGCCTCTTCCCTGAAGCCCTTTCATAACTTCTATCAGGAAAGATCTCCAACATTCTCATTCTGTCCTTCCAGATAGCACTGTCACCTAAACAATCTTCTTTTCTACGGAAGTCTTATGAATCCTTTTTAAGCTGCTAAATAACTCAAATATAAGGTTATTTACATCTTACGGGAAATTTTCAAAGCTGGACAAATTTAAGTTATCTTTCCAGTTTTATACGGGAATCAAACTTACCTGGCTCTCTGCAAAACACAAACATTTTAAATTAATACAATTTTTGTGCTTGGTTATAATACCTATTAAGCTGTTAACATACAACAATAAGGTAAAATCAGATGAATATCTCAGCAATCTACAACATTTAGCATTAGTTATGTTATAAACACTGCCCAGAATTTCAGGAAGAATTTCTTTCCTAGGTGTATTTTTCTTAGGCCATGTCTCATAGCGTGAGGCTATCATATCTCTCTTTTTTACAATTAAGAAATACGTCAATGAATTTTAAAAAGCAAATGTACTAATGATGTAAAATCCAACATTATCTCTCTCAACAAGACATGGCCTTTACCACTTTACTGAGCAATAAAACATGACTCAGTATGTTCATTCATTTCTTTGTTTATTCACTGCTATATCCCTAACACCCCAAACACTGCCTATCAGTTAAATGAATGAATGAACTAATATTTACTATGTACCTCTTATGTGCCACATACTGTGCTACCCTCAGGAATGCTGCAATATGGCCTTGCTTCCATGAAAATTGCAGTAGAGGAGAGACATTAGACAAAAGTTATGTAATGATTTAATTGCTATTATGATAAAAGTTGTAAAGGAAAATAAACAATGAAAATGAAAATAGAACTTTCACTGCCTAAGATGTAAGAAAAGACTTTGTGAGGAACAGACATCTAAGCTGGCATCTAAAAAAAGGCCCGAATTTAGGAACGGGAAGAATAAAGAAGAAAACTATTTCACACAGACAAATATGTGTAAGATCCTGAGGAAGCTAGGTGTGTATTATCTTCCAGCAACTGAAGACACATCCTGGCTGATTTGCCTCAGTGTTGGAGCATCAGCCTGTGGACTGAAGGGTCGCGGGTTGGATTCTGGCCAACCAATGGATGTGTCTCTCTCACATCGATGTTTCTGTCTCTCGCCCTCACATCCAGTCTCTCTAAAGATCAATAGAAAAAATATCTTCAGATGAGGATTAACAATAACAACAACAAAGAACTGCAGACAGACCAGAGGGGACAGTTCCAGATGAGGCTGGACTGAAAAGCTGAGCTCAGGCCATGCTGGGGCCTTATCGACTGCATTGTGGATTTTGGATTTCACACCAGATTGCAGCCAGAACAAAGGAATGATCGTCATACTCACATTTTATATATATACTAGAGGCCTGGTGCACAGATTTGTGCACTGGTGGGGTCCCCCCACAGCTGAGATACCCCTCCAGACTCTCAGTCGCCATCCTTAGGAGCTGGGTCAGCCTTTTCCCATCTCTCTTCTTCCTGCTAGTCTCAATGTGGCTTCTTCTATAAATCCTTGGTTATAAGACTTCTCTTCAGCTCGTCATCAGTCGGTTATGCAGTTGATTGCTTTATATTTTATTTGATTTTTAAAATACATTTTCATTGATTTCAGAGAGGGAGAGGCAGAGAGAGATAGAAACATCAATAATGAGAGAATCACTGATTGCCTGCCTCTTACACATCCCCAACTGGGGATCAAGCCCGCAACCCAGGCTTGTGACCTGACCAAGAATCGAGCTGTGACCTCCTGGTTCATAAGTCGATGCTCAAACAATAAGCCACAACAGCTGGGCCATACTTGCATTTTAAAACTATCACTCTGGCTGCTGATGGAGATGGATTAGACGGAAATAAGAAGGAAGCAGGAAGACCAGTGATGGGGAGAGTATAGCACTGTAGGTGGGAGATGATGTCTGACTAGGGAATTTACTGGGGCTTCTATTTAGGATGTACTTTTCTGCATAGGGTAACTGAGTGAGTTATGGGAGATGAGAGGAAGAAGAGTTCCAAAGTGACACCGACCAACCAGGTGGGGATAGTTGCCTTTACCTAGATGGGGAACAGTGAGGCCAGGTTTGTGGGGGGAATGGGAAATCAAAAGTTTGGTGTGAGATGTTTAAGAAATGATGTCCACATTACCCGAATGGAGCTCATCAGCAGGATCTGGGAAAGATATACACTTAACAGCCTTTGGCTGGTTAATAGCACTTGAAGCTATGGGGACAGATGAGATTGCCCAGAGATAATGAAGAGTGAGAAGACAAGAAGGGGGGAATGGGAAATCAAAAGTTTGGTGTGAGACATGTGCAAGGAATGATGTCCATATTACCCGAATGGAGCTCATCAGCAGGATTTGGGAAAGATACACACTTACAGCCTTTGGCCGGTTAATAGCACTTGAAGCTATGGGGACAGATGAGATTGCCCAGAGATAATGAAGAGTGAGAAGAGAAGAAACATATGTCTTTGAAATATCCAGAACTGCCATAATATGAAAAGTTGAAACTGACCGTAAATTTCTGAAATCCTTCAGAAGTAAACAATTATTTGATTAAGTCATGGAAATTTTTGCTGGGAAAGACACT